AGTCCTACCACAGAGCCAGCCTTTTTCACCAGTTTGTAAAGACGTCTTGCATCTTTTGTGTTTGATGCTTCCTCCCCAGCAGACTGCAGCGTAGAACAGCACATTTGCCACCACAGACTGATAAAACATCTGCAGCATCTTACTACAGATGTCTATTGATCAGAGTCTTCTCAGGCAAAAGAGGCGGCTCTGCCCCTTTCTGTAGATGAAGTCTATATTCTTAGACCAATCCAACTTATTATCCAGATGTACACCTAGGTATTTATATGATGTCACCACTTCAAAGTCCACTCCACAGGTGTTCACTGGCTGAAGAGGGGGTTTGGATCTACGGAAGTCTATGACCATCTCCTTTGTCTGGTAGATGAAGTGCCAGCTCATTCTTGTAGCTTACCCGATTTGCCTCTGCTCCAAAGTGCATCAAGAAATTGAGACTCAGGGCAACAGAGCACCATTATTCACTATACTACATCTATCAAGCACTTTGTTGGTCATACACCCTGGACTAAGAACAAACCATCAAGTTCAAGAAGCTGTACAATAAATGAACACCATGCTGAAGGCAAAGACAGCTTACCTATTGCGTCAAAAATCATGCTGCAACACATTTAGTGAACATGTCAAACCAAAAACAGCTGGGTTGAGGGCTGTAACAAGGAAAGCTATCGCAAATCATCCTGACTTAAACTTAAGGTTGGGACAGAAGATTTGTGACATTTACAGAAAGGAAATTATGAAAACTCATGTAGAAACAGTTAATAAGGAAAAGTCCCCAACCACAGACAGCAATGATACTATTGATGCTGACAACTATTCTCCAAAGCCTGGCTGCTCTGAAGACTCTGAATATCTTTCCCAGAAGGCTGAATTGAGCATTTTAAACCAGTCACTGCAATTAATTGGAGAATCACCTGTACAGACCATAACACAAAAAAGAGAGACTGACAAGTATCTAAAGACGAAATCAAAGAAAATAGGTGATACTGTGAAAAAAAAGAATATGCTACACGGAAATCATCAACAAAACTCCAGGATGCAGGAGTGGAAATGATTGAGCAACTCAAGGATAAGTTCCAATCAACTAAACAGAAAAGTGAAAAGGTACAAGTCCACACTGTTCTCCCCTAGAGCTGGACAGTAGCTGAAATCAGGGAGGAGCTCAATGCAACAAACTACATGGTGAAGAAAGCAAAGGCATTAGTAAAAGAGGAGGGCATTCTAGCGATGCCTAACCCAAAGTCCAGGAAAGTATTATAAAAGATGACTGAGGATATGGTACAAGCATTCTATTTGTCTGATTCAGTGTGCAGACTAATGCCTGGCATGAAAGACTACATTTCTGTCGCTGTGGATGGAAAAAAGCAACATGCGCAAAAGCATCTGATACTTTGAAACCTACATGAAGCATATGAACTCTTTAAAGAATCGCATCCTGACGCCAAAGTTGGATTCTCCAAGTTCGCCGAACTCCATCCAAGGCAATGTGTTTTAGCAGGTTCCAGTGGGACACAGTCTGTGTGTGTACAACACACCAGAATATAAAGCTAATGTTCACTGGATGTAAGTTAGACTCTGTGACCAAGGGTGAGTTCAAGCACTACTGTCACTGTCTTGCTGCTATTCAGTGTAATCTGCCTTGCACTGAGTGCTTTTTAGGCAGATGTTTGCAGTGTCCAGGAACAGACAGGCTAAGAGAGAAACTTGAACGAAATATGCAAGAAGACATGATTGATCAAATTCAGTACAAACAGTGGACATCAACAGATAGGTCAAACCTAGAAATGAGGGTCCAGACAGTTCCGGAGTTTATGGAGTCTTTCGAAAGCAGCCTTTGTAAACTTTTGCTCCATGACTTCATTGCAAAGCAGCAAGCGTCTTGCCTTCAAAGTCTTAGATGTAATCTGGAGCCTGGTGTCTTCCTGGTCATCGCAGACTTCGTGGGGAACTGTAGCTTTGTAGTACAGGATGCATCTCAGTCATTCCATTGGAACAATCACCAGGCTACAATCCATCCGTTTGTTTATTATTACAAGAGTGTTGAACAAGACGCACATGTACATAACAATCTCGTCATTATTTCAGAATGCAATATTCATGACACTGTTGCAGTTCACCTTTACCAAAAACTGCTTGTTCAGTTCCTTACCAACAGTAATGGACAGAGCCCTAGAAGGATTTGCTACTTTTCTGATGGCTGTGCTGCACAGTACAAGAATCAGAAAAACTTCATCAATCTGTGTCACCATGATGAAGACTTTGGCATACCAGCTGAATGGCATTTCTTTGCGACCTCTCATGGGAAGGGACCATCTGATGGACTTGGAGGGACAATAAAAAGGTTAGCAGCCAGGGCTAGTCTACAAAGACCATATGAAAACCAGATCACCACCCCTCAAGAGCTTTTTGAATTTGCACAGTCAGAGCTGAAGAATATCAACTGCCAATTTGTGAGTACTGAACAGTACAAGCAGGAGTCTCAAATCCTGAAGGACAGGTTTGAAGTTGCTTGCACAATTCCTGGCACCCAGAAATTACACTACTTCTGTTCGATATCGAAGGAGAGAGTCAGGGTCAAAACATTCTCATCTTCTGATGAATACAGGGATGAGCATACTAGTGTAACACCAGAGGTCAAAATCAAGATGTGCAGGTATGATGAAATTCTTGGAATAATGGGCTATTTAGGTCATTTTTAATTTTAGTATGAGGTATTATGCAAATGAGTACAATCTGTGGAAGCATAATTTACTATAAAGAAATGATTTATCACACAAGCAGGCAATTGGGGCTACCTCCAGATGAGGTCAGGACTGTATAATGTGCCAAATATGGCGATTTTTTGACCTAACGTACCACATGTTTTGACTGATTGCTCAGAAAGTAATGAAATGCCCATCCTGAAACTTGCAGGGATGCTAGTGGACATGATAGTCTTTCTTTACTGTGAATATGAAGAAAATTGAAGGACGTGCGTTTTTTGCTATTTCCAATTTATGTTTTTGGTCTTTTACATTTTTTTTCTGGTCCAATTTGGGAAAAAATGTTATGGAACAAAAACTTCCAGAGATATGAACACTTTTGTAATGCATGTCATGCTAATTAGCCAAAAATTCGTTAGCCCCTATCTCACTAATTAGATGGCTTTGAACAAAAATATTTCAGCTCTGACAGTTTCTCCCGAAGGCCAATCACTCCAACAAATTTCATCAAAATCTGTGACTTGAGTGGAGATTCTTGGTTGAATTGACATGGAATGACCCACGGTTTATATCGCCACCTCCTAGCATTCCGCTTTGCCTTCACCTTTGCATCAGCACAGCACCCATGATAACACCTCCTGATGTCATCTGGAATTGTATGTTGTTGTCCAGATTTGCTTTTCCTCAATGAAAGGAGCTCTTCTCTTGAGTAAACTCTTTGCCCAGCAGAAGTATCCATCAGCAGCCAACAAAATGACAACAAAAATATCAAAAAAATCTAGCAAAAATTACAGATAATACAGAGAGACCAGACTTGCAGCAACCTCTTGGTTTAAGCGCATCATTTGAATCATGCTATGCAGTGAGACAGTATTGCTATTTCTCTGTATGTTGTTATTGCTGAGCCCGACGCTCTTGTGATTGGAGACTTTGTAGTCAGAAATGTGAACCTGGCGAAGTCAGCGGCCATAGTTCAGTGACTTCCAGGGGCCAGAGCGGGCAACATCGAAGGTAGTGTAAAACTGTCGGAAGTCACTAAATTGAACGTGGAATTGGTGTGTGAATACGCCAAAACCATGTCGGACTCCGTAGTTTTCTCTGGTCCCCTGCCCGATCAGACAACTGATGAGATATGTAGCCGTATCTCAACATTCAACCGCTGGCTGTCGAGGTAGTGTCCGCAAAACGGCGTGGGCTTCATTGATAATTGGAAGTCGTTTAGGGGCAAGCCTGATCTGATTAGTCGGGACAGCATTCATCCCACTTGAGATGGAGCGGCCCGTTTATCCAGAAATCTGGCTGATTTTATTAGTCCGAACCACTGACAATTCAGAGCAGAGATCAGGGAGCAGAGCCGCAGTCCTACATGCCCTTCTGCGCCTCCTTTAGAGCAGCTTCCCAGCCACTATCACTTATATACAGAGACTAGGGAGCAGAGCCACATTCTTACACGCACCTCTGCACTCCCTTCAGAGCAGCTTCCTAGCTACAATCAATTTGATATGGAGATCAGGGAGCAGAGCCGCAGTCTTACACGCCCCTCTGTACTCCCTTCAGTGCAGCTTCCTAGGTACAATCAGTTTGATATAGAGATCAGGGAGCATAGCCGCAGTTCTACATGTTCCTCTGCACTTTTGTTAGAGCAGCCTCCTAGCTAATATCACTTCAGTATAGAGACTGTGTCTGTCCCTTGTCCTCGGCTCTTTAATTCTAACCAATCGATTAACTAAGGAGTAAATAACAAGAACCTTACTAGAATTAAAACTGCTAACATAGCTGGACCGAGTTCTAGTAAGATAAAATGTGGTCTACTGAACATAAGGTCTCTTAAGTTCCAAATCTACGTTAATAAATGAACTGGGGCCTCATGTATCAATACTTACGTGGAACTCATACCAGAAACGAGCGCACGCAAGGTCCGTCACGCTGAAAAAAATCCGTATGTATCAATGTGTGCGGGCGCCGAAATCCACGTGTGTTTCCTTGATAAATCCCAATCAGCGTGGAATTGAGCGCAGATGTCGGAGTGACTGGGCCCGTCCCCGTTACGCCCTCCTATAAATATGCAGATTTATTTAAATAGGGTCTCCCTGTCCTCGCACGCAGACAAAATGACAAGAAAAACTAAATTTACGGCGTGCGAGGTGGAGGTTCTGGTGGCGGAGGTGGAGGAGCGACAGTGTGTTTTGTTTGGCAGCCTGTCCAGTGGCGTCAGTGCAAAACGTAAACGCTTGGAGTGGGAGAAACTTTGCGAGAGGGTGAATGCGGTGGGTTCCGAGACACGCACCCCCGCGAAGATTAAAAAAAAGTGGTCGGACCACAAGGTGGAGGTCAAGCGGCGTACAGCTGCCCTCCGGAGGAGTACCGGCCTGACAGGTGAGGGTCCGGGGGAGGAGACCCTCACACCGTTTGAGCAGCGAGTGGTGGCGATTATTATTATAGGGTAAGTGGCGTGTCACACAAATGTCCACATGCTTTGTCATCCCACTGAGCAAAAGACGTATATTAGACGTCTAGTCTAAGTTTATACTTCATTTCAACGTCGGGATTCAGTCTATTTTTGGACGTGATTTATACTTCGCCCTTAACTTCATTTTTCGATAACTTTTTTATGCAATAAACAACTGTAATGTGCATAACTGACCTCTAAATACTGGATTACATTACCTATGACACCGTGGAGAGAGATGTAAACGCAACAGATACACAGAAGCAGGAATTGAAATGAACCAATATTTTTATTGTGTCACAGAAATCAATGTGTCGGCCGTGTCGCCGGCTTGCGGAACCCCGACCCGCGGCAGCCCGTCCGCCGGCTCGGAGTCGTCGGCCAGGACCAGCGGCATTCGGGCCACCCCGGCCCCAGCACCAGCACCAGCATCAGCACCAGCGCGCCGACAAGCGGTGGAGCGTCCACCAGCCGCGGCGTTTCCGCTGGACCACCCGGACGCAGTGGAAGGGTCCTCGCGGAGGGGGTCCTGCAATCGCAGGAAGAAATCATCAGGGGGATCAACGGGGATCAACGAGCGGCTGGACCGGCTCGTAAATGTCCTCGAGCGTCTGGAGGAGAAAATAAATTAATTTGGCTCATTGGACAACTGTGTATTCACTTCTTACCCATTCACACTGTGGCGATGAGATTCTCCCGCGCGAGGACGGCGGCCCGGCAGGGATCAGCTCGCATCCCTCCGTCTGCTGCTGGTTCGTCATGTGGGGCGACGTGCTGCTCGGCCACGGGGATGTGGTGCACGCTTGTCACATAGTGAGTCACCAAACACCGCCACACAGCGTCGCCAAAGTGCGAATCACAGTCAACGCAAGTTTTCGGCTCAACGCCAATTTCTACACCACCTCCTGACTTTGCGTTGATTAGCGCTGGAACCGACGCTCGTTTCGCGATGATAAATCTGGACGTGTGCGCCGATTTTGGCGTACGCAAGGTTTTCTTGCGCCGCAAGCGTTGATACATGAGGCCCCTGATCTCTGATCATCGCATTGATTTACTCTCCCTAACCGAAACTTGGCTGCGTCAGGATGAATATGTCAGTTTAAATGAATCCACTCCTCCTAGTCAAGATTTCTTACAAATCACAACAAAAGCTCAGTTAAAAACAAGGCCTCTGAGTTGAAGGCCAGTTTCATTTTTCATAAGAAACCCAGGCAATACAAGAACCCTACAACATAAAAATAAAAACATAAAATAAGTAAGAAGAAGAATGAAATAGAAAAGGAGGCCAGAAAGCAGTAAACAGGATAGTAAGTATAAAAGAGGATATTAATAATGATAATACAATCATAATAAAATAAAAATGATGGTAATATTAATGATAAAATGGAATAATAAAAATGAGCAGGAAAAAACATAAAAATCAATAAAAGGACCTAAAAGGTAAAATAAGGAGTGACTCTGCACGCCTAATCTCCTGTGGCAGGTCGTTCCAAAGTCGAGGAGCTCTGATGGAGGGAGCTCTATCACCTTTAGTTTTGAGCCTCGACTTTGGAACGACCAGGAGGCCCTAGCCAGAGGATCTGAGGCTGTGAGTTGGCTCATAAGGTATTAAATGCTCTGAAATGTAGCAGGGGGATGTGGATGAGATTGGTGGGGGGACAAAATCTGGCAGGAGGATAGGGAGGATGTGAGCATGTGATGTAGACTGGAATCAGAGATTTACTGATAGTACTGGGGTGGGGGGGCAGAGGAAGGTGGGGATTGGCAGGTGAATGAGCTGGGATTGTGGGACTGTTTTGAGATGACCAGAGGTTATTGTGAGGAGGAGGGGGAGTGGCCAGAGTGTGGAAACCGAAGTTGTGGGTGGGGCATGTGGATTGGAGCCAAGTATGGAGGCTGAAGATCCTACTAAAATGTTCTGCTTCACGACCGAGAGTGGGGATCGGGCCAGAGATAAAAACTGTCTATCCAGTGTCCTTTAAAATGATAAAAAGCAAGTTAAAATCCCTCTTTGTTATTTCGGACTGCTTAAGGGACGTGTTGTTTGAGGAGGGAAGAGAGGGGAGTAAATAGGGAAGTTTGTCCAGGATGACAGGTACTGTGGCGCCAGGAAAACAGTGAGTAATGGCATTAAAAAATCTGATGTACCTGGTTATGGAGTCTCCAATGATAAGCGTGGTCGGAGGAAAAAAGGGTGCTGATGTGCACGCACTGAAGCCTACAGATGTTGGGCGCTCCACCTGTGCAGGGGACGGCGATTGTCTGCAGTGAGTGGGTGCAGGTGGAGTGAGGGTGTTGCCAGCCCGGGGGAGCCTCTTCGAGCGCCTGGAGATGGCCGCCTTCAGCAGCCTGAGGCGCAGCATCCCGGTCGAGGAAGGCCGCGGTGCCTGGTCCGTGTTGGACATCCGCGGGGCCGACGCGGCGGAGGAGGGAGCTGCCTCTGCTGGAGCTGGGTCCGACAGGAAAGGTGGAGCTGGAGCAGCGGCTGGGTCAGCGGGAGCCCCGTCCCTCAGGGCCAAGAAGCGGTTGGACAGGGAGAACCATGGTGGTGAAGGGAGTCTCTCCACTGCGATCCTCCTCCGTCTCCATTGCGCCACCTCGAACCAGGTTTGCTGCCCCTGCAGCTTTGGGGTCGAGCTGTGGGAAGGGAGTGCCAGTATTAGGATCGTCCAGCGGTCTCAGACCCTGACTGTACCGATTGGGTTTACACAGTGTTTACATGGACCTACGCACTGCTTTAACCACACCCTCGATCTTGTCCTGGCTTATGGCCTTGAAGCTGAAGCCTTGTCAGTCAGTTCATTAAATTCTCTTTTATCAGGTCTCTTCCTAGTAACTTTTGAATTTGTGCTTTCAGGCTACTCTCCTAATTACAAAACCGTGCTAACTAGAAGGTTGTGTGAAAATGCTGTGACTAAGTTCAAGGAGGCAATTCCATCAGCTCTTAATTCTGTGCTCGAGAAGAACTTCACTGATAGCTCATACTTGAACATCAATCCTTGCAACTCGATTAGTTCGTCGATGATACCTCAGGCACATTGCAATCAATTCTTGGCTCAGTTGCCTCTCTTCGGCAGAAAACTCTTACACGCAAGAGGCTGGCTCCGTGGTATAATGCTGAAACCCTTGAGCTGAAACAGTTATTAAGAAGACGAGAAAGGAGGGGCTGTGTGATCACAGACAACATCTCGGTACTATTTAGTAGCAGCGCATGCCCCTTGTAATAACCCCCGTAAGAACTGTTGTTCAGGACTGCTTACTTGTGCTTCCTACCCATTTGGCTACTGTAATAACCGTTGTTCGAGCCCACACGCAACATTTTTGCTCTCATTCATGAAACGATTAAATCGGGGACATTTTGGGGACAGCTTTTGCCGAGGACAGGTCATCCAATTCGGGGACTGTCCCCGGAAATCGAGGACATCTGGTCACCTTATGCTAAAGGCTAAAAATGGCAGGTATTAAACCATATATTTTAGACCCGGAGTCCGAAGAGGAGGTGGAAGTTGAAGAAGAAGCCAGAGATCTCGAGTGAACCCGAGGAAACACCGGTTATTTGGAAGAGACCCATAGCGGATACAGTGGTAGCTGGGTCTCGCTCTGGCTGGAGAGTAATGTTGACTGTGACTGAGTACGAGAACGAGTGAGTGGGCGCAGCTCCCCGTCGGACGCGCTCGTGAATAATAATGAGCAATAAAGGAGCAGACAAATGCATAATATAGCCCGAATCGTTCACTTTGTTATACAAGCATGAAATTTGGTACATATACTCTTCAAACCCCACTCTTTTCAAAAATAACGTTAGCCACGCAAAATTCCAAGATGGCGGCCCCAAAATCCAAGATGTCCACCCCAAAATGTGGTTCTTCCTTTATAACTCAAAATGACTTGATTTTAAGCCCCATACATATATTGAAGTTGAATATAAAGTTGGGTATTGCGGACATTTTGGTACCTAGTACATCTCTGTATCCATTACGGTTCTTGAGATACAGCATATAGATACTTGTACAGAATTGGGAGAGTGAGAAATTTGTAACACCGATTGTTGTTACGTGCATATGGTTGCATGAAAATATCATTGCCAATATCTGTTATTTTCATGAGGGTTATAACATTAAATTTGAAAAACAAGATGGTGTCCAAGATGGCTGCCATTGCCTTGAAGTAATCCGATCTTAGTGACTATGAAACATTAACTTTTGGCATGCACATATTTTTGGTCTATGCATCCAATGGGACCATTGCAGTACAGAATTTAGATGTTTATACGTTACAAGCTTGCAGATGTAATAGAGCGAATATCGGCACACTGGTGATATCACTGCTGTGTAACTCAGCATGACCTCCAGGGGTTCTTTCAGCATGAGAACCAGTCCTTCCCTTTTGCATTGAGCAAGGGTGGAAAATTGTACACTTGCCAGAAGTCTCAGCTGACCCCTATCCTTGAGAATTATGTCCCACCAGTTGACAAGGAACCTGAGGCAGACGTTCTCATTGTAGATGGGTCAGCTTTGGACCACGCCCTGCCACCACAAAGATCCAAGACTTTTGAGGACTCTCGACTTCCTACCTGTGATCTACATGTACTCCAGCAAGTACACAATGACACATCTGGGGCCTCATGTATCAACGCTTGCGGCGCAAGAAAACCTTGCGTACGCCAAAATCGGCGCACACGTCCAGATTTATCATCGCGAAACGAGCGTCGGTTCCAGCGCTAATCAACGCAAAGTCAGGAGGTGGTGTAGAAATTGGCGTTGAGCCGATACTTGCGTTGACTGTGATTCGCACTTTGGCGACGCTGTGTGGCGGTGTTTGATGACTCACTATGTGACAAGCGTGCACCTCATCCCCGTGGCCGAGCAGCACGTCGCCCCACATGACGAACCAGCAGCAGACGGAGGGATGCGAGCTGATCCCTGCCGGGCCGCCGTCCTCGCACGGGAGAATCTCATCGCCACAGTGTGAATGGGTAAAAAGTGAATACACAGTTCAATGAGCCAAATTAATTTATTTTCTCCACCAGACGCTCGAGGACATTTACGAGCCAGTCCAGCCGCTCGTTGATCCCTGCGATCCCCCTGATGATTTCTTCCTGCGATTGCAGGACCCCCTCCGCGAGGACCCTTCCACTGCGTCCGGGTGGTCCAGCGGAAGCGCCGCGGCTGGTGGACGCTCCACCGCTTGTCGGCACGCTGGTGCTGATGCTGGTGCTGGTGCTGGTGCTGGTGCTGGGGCCGGGGGCCGGGGTGGCCCGAATGCCGCTGGTCCTGGCCGATGACTCCGAGCCGGCGGACGGGCTGCCGCGGGCCGGGGTTCCGCAAGCCGGCGACACGGCCGACACATTGATTTCTGTGACACAATAAAAATATTTGTTCATTTCAATTCCTGCTTCTGTGTATCTGTTGCGTTTACATCTCTCTCCACGGTATCATAGGTAATGTAATCCAATATTTAGAGGTCAGTTATGCACATTACAGTTGTTTATTGCATAAAAAGTTATCGAAAAATGAAGTTAAGGGCGAAGTATAAATCACGTCTAAAAATAGACTGAATCCCGACGTTGAAATGAAGTATAAACTTAGACTAGACGTCTAATATACGTCTTTTGCTCAGTGGGATGACAAAGCATGTGGACATTTGTGTGACACGCCACTTACCCTATAATAATAATCGCCACCACCCGCTGCTCAAACGGTGTGAGGGTCTCCTTCCCCGGAACCCCACCTGTCTGGCCAGTAGTCCTCCGGAGGGCAGCTGTACGCCGCTTGACCTCCACCTTGAGGTCCGACCACTTTTTTTTAATCGTCGCGGGGGTGCGTGTCTCGGAAGCCACCGCATTCACCCTCTCGCAAACTTTCTCCCACTCCAAGCGTTTTTGTTTTGCACTGACGCCACTGGACAGGCTGCCAAACAAAACACGCTGTCGCTCCT